TCTGCTCAGCAGCATACTGAGGACAACATGACAGACCACAGTCCCCACACAGATTCTTCAGCTGGGCAGAAATTAAAACGTTTGATCTGAATTCTGAAGCTGTTTGTTTGCGCTGCCTAAATGGGGCTATTGTATGCAAATTCTTTGCACAGAGGCATATGACCTCCCCAGTGCAGGGCAGTGGCTAGTGTGAGGGAAATCATTAGCAATGCAAAGTCATGGTGCTCTGATACTCTTGTTCACAGTCAAAGACTGGAAAAAAAAACATCTGATCTGGTGATGCTAACTTAAATGTTTCTGGATGCACTTTATTTGCAAGCAGAGCTAAGGTAAGTTCATTTTATTGATGACTTTGTTCCTACATCATGTGGCTGCGCGGATGGACAGTTTAAATAGTTTCTTTTCAGCGTGTTCATTTATTCTGTGCTCATTGGCAGATCATGCTTAGCTGTTAATGTCACTTCACACTATATTCACAAGATATGATTAGGATAAAAAAGAAAATGAGACTCTTTTCCAAACATGTTCTTTTTGAGAGTTCGTCCGAGAAGTGATGATCAGACAACATTATTTATTTGCAGTCCTTGTTAGTTATTTCTATCTGCCTGATCAGTGAATTGTGTGAAAACCTTCTAAGCTAAGAAGCAGAAGAGTCCTTCTATGTAACTTATCAACGTCCTTTAGGAGCACAAATGATTTTCCTGCCGGTGAGTGGCGACTATCCAAGAGTCTGTTAATCCAGCTACAGTTGCTCATTTTGCATGCAACACCATGGCTACTGGTGAAAGCATGTCACATGACACATGGTGCCAGACCTCAGTATTGCACTCTTAAGTGGGCTGCCAGCTGCAGAGGGGGGCAGAGAGGCTTTTTTCCTTCTCTGGACTCACATCCATGCCAAACCAGCGGGTCAACATTGTCCTCCACGCTGCCTCCTATGCCTCTTACACCTCCAGCTGAGCCCGGTAACAACTCCAACATTTACTCTAGACTCAGACATAACAGAGCAATCAGTAATGATCAACACCAAGGGGATCAAACATGCTACAATTTAAGCCTAAGAAGAATCATAGGCGTAAAAAAGAAAAAGCTGTGATGTACTCATTACTATTAATTTACCAAGTCCAGCCAAAGTGTGGCTGCACCATGTGTTCTGATTTAAGTCAAGTGTGCAGGTTGCTATTATTTAAAGTGAATAAGTAAGACAGTATTGTGTTTATTAAGTTTTAAGTTTGCTGTTGAAAAGTGAAACTGAAGTTCTCCTTTGTGTCTGACTTTGACATTCAGGAGAACTTTTAGAGAATTTTTAGAGAGTTATATTTCCTGCCTTTTTAATCTAAAGTATTTTTTTCTTGTTCTAAGTTTGATGCATAGATCATTTTCATGTGCATAATCTTTTACATAATATTTCCTGATCATTTTCAAGCAATAGAGTGACACTTAAGTTAAAACTAACACCTTCAGAAAGAGCTGATGCATGATGATGTGTGCAAATTGTTTTCTCATAATCCATATATATTCAGTTTTATGTCACAGGAGGCAATAAGTACAAACAATCCTCACAACAGAAACTGGAGGGAGATTTTCTGCTTTTAGAAAAAAAAAAAGCGCTTTTTCACTCAGAAAATTAACCGAATGATCAACAAACCAATTATTCCGTGAAGCTGCTGTTGTGAAGTTTACTTGTACTGAAGGGCCAGTAATTTTGTGCCTGTTATGTCACAAGATGGGATTTGTTAGTGATTTTTTTATAAAGCAAATTTTTAAGTATTTTTAGTAACTTCAAGGGAATTTTGGTTAAACATGCAAGAGTCCTGCAAGTCCTGAGGAGTTAATGTGATGAAGTAATTCATACATCAGGGCAAAGGGAGGATATACTGAACAGAAACACAGGGGGACTGATCCCGGGTAAATTTGCATCGGTCAACTCTCCAGAGTATAGCCTTACACACGGGATTTACTGTACATCATTTGCATTGCTTCACTTGCTAATTTTTGGTTCTACTTTTTTGGAAACAAATTGTCCAAGTGAGAGCTTGGCAGGCCTTTTTTTAAGATTTAAGAAGCCTTAATTTTTGCCAAATGGCTACATGCGAAGAAGACAGTCTTATTTGAATGTCTAATCTCAAACAGTAAGAATTATCATAAGATCAGATCAGAGAAACTCTTGTCATAGCAGCATACATATAATAGACAACAAAGCAATCACATAAAAAAGCAGAGAAATATAAAAATGAATATAAAAAAGAGATGATTTTAATCATTTTCTTTTATCATTTTATGGTTTGTTTTACATTATTGTGTTGATTTGCAGTAAAATTATTTTACAATAAAAAAAATTTAATTACAAAAAAATGATATCATATGATTTTTGTGTTTGTTTGTTTCAGACCCGGAACCAAAGATGAACTGGGCATCATTTTATGCTGTCATTAGCGGTGTGAACCGCCACTCCACCGGCATCGGTCGAATCTGGCTCTCCGTGCTCTTCATTTTCCGCATCCTGGTCCTCGTGGTTGCAGCCGAGAGCGTGTGGGGCGACGAGAAGTCTGGCTTCACCTGCAACACGCAGCAGCCGGGTTGCAACAGTGTCTGCTACGACCACTTCTTCCCCATCTCCCACATTCGACTCTGGGCACTCCAGCTCATCCTGGTCTCCACTCCTGCCTTGCTGGTAGCCATGCACGTTGCCCATCGGCGTCATGTTGACAAGAGGCTCTACAAACTGTCGGGCCGGTCCAACCCGAAAGACCTGGAGCAGATAAAAACACAGAAGATGAAAATCACTGGGGCCCTGTGGTGGACATACGTCATCAGCCTTTTATTCCGTATCATCTTTGAGGTCACTTTTATGTATGTGTTTTATATGATCTACCCTGGTTACAAGATGATCCGGCTGGTGAAGTGTGACTCCTACCCTTGTCCCAACACGGTGGACTGCTTTGTGTCGAGACCCACAGAGAAGACTGTCTTCACCGTGTTCATGTTGGCTGTGTCAGGTGTTTGTATTCTACTCAACATTGCCGAGGTGGTCTTCTTGGTGGGGAAGGCTTGCAGCAAGCACTTGCACAATGCTGGAGACTCGACTATGGGGGCTTGGATCCAACAAAAGCTTTGCTCATTCTAACAAAATGCACAGCAGCACAAAGGAGACATATAAGTGACCGTTCAGGTAACAACTACTGATTAAACTTGTGAGGTTTATATCATGGCGATGCTTCACCGGTTCAAATGCAGAAAGCCAGCAGTTCATGTTTCGACAAACATTTCTAGTTATAATGGATAGCTTGGTGTTTGTCTGACTGCAGATCAGTTAAAAACACTTAATAAACCAATATTCCCACTGACCACATTACAGCCTTCAGCTATCATGGATTTGTTTTAATCTTTATCTTGAAATGAAACTATAAAAGCTGCCTAAAGTCATAGTAAAACATCCAGTTGGTTGAGAAAAGTGTATTGTGGGCATGGTCATTAATAATATTTTGTTATTTATGTGACACATAATCACAAACACTGATGTGAGTGAAATTATACTAATACATGCATGTAGTAAACATGTTGCATTTCATATGTATTGAATGGGGGCAGTCACATTATTTGAATTGGCGGTTCAATACTTTCACTTGGAAAGACAGTAATAGAAAAAAAACTTGAATTGTATTTTTTTTGTGTGAAGCTTTCTTAACATGGTGATATTTCTATTTAAATGTATTTATTTTGAAAGTGGAATGTTTCTATGTTGTCCATACACAACAGAATAAAATCAACCAGACTTTAAACTAACTTTGCTGTTTTTACCTACTCGGTTAAAGGGGATTTGCTCTGACACATAACAGATTGAAAGCTGTTTAACCTGTTAGCAGTCGGACGTACCGCCCACGGTACATTGGATGGTTTAGGGGACTAATTGTAAATTTGTAGGACTGCTAAGGGGTTAAGCGTACTCTGGCAGGACTTCCCGGCTCTGTGGAAAGGTGATAGAATAAACGACCAGCGGGCGGTGGTTAACGATAGGTACAAATAAAGCTGAGGCCACAGAGGTGCCGGTGTCAGAAATGTGACTGAGGGAAACAAAGTATGTGAACGAAACATCCTCACGCATTTCACCCCATCAACCCCACCGTGTGTGAGATCTTCAAAGTCACCTGCGAAGAACTGTCTCAGGTGTTATTGGTGTTGGTGTTATCAGTGGACCCACCATATAGGAGTTTCAGTGTGTGGATACCCCCATAGACAGCTGAACCTGCTGTCCCAGAGAAATGAGGTTGTTTCTCTTTTTATGGAAACCATCACCACACATTATTCAGGAAGGCAAATTAATTTACAGTAAAATGGCTTTAAGTGTGCTTATTTTGCAGATGGCCTTCCGCAAAACACCCCAAGTGAAAGTGATTTTAATCCAGTATGTCTTTTTTCACAGTGTTATTTTGTGATGAGTAATTGTACTTGTGTACAGGTAAATAAACTTCTGTTGTCTTTTCTGATGCTTTAATAGAGGGACCTTAAGTCTAAATAGCATAATTAGGTTAGTACACCATCCTCTGTATGCAGGCATCATTTTTTCAGGTATTACTCCATGCAGTCTTCCTCTGTGTAGCACTGAGGGATGGCTCTGTGCCATCTAAAGCTCGTCCACGCAGTCATGGGTCAGATCACCATAAAAGTGGCAACAAAACCACTCCCTTCACCATGAATTATATTTAGAGCACAGTGGTATGTAGGCTTAACCTGCATCCTCACTGGACTCCTCAGCTGCCACTCAGTTCAACAGAAACACCTCTTGACAGCGAGGATTTTAGACTTTTCTTCTCACAGGAATGTTTTCATCTGTGCTGAGACAAGACAAGGGGTTTAGCTGTGGTGGCTTGTTGAGGACTGGGCATTGATAAGGTCAGAGTAGGAGGGAGGGCACCAAGCAGAATCCCAGAGAAAACTGCCTGAGAGAAGTTTATCTTTGGTGCTGCAGTTTCCTCAGCAGCTCAGGAGAACATGGCCTCGCTGTGAAGTGAAGAGGTCAAGTGACTGAAAGAAATGAACTTTATCAGGTAGGTCTTTCTTAATCTTTCTGGGATGTTACTATTGCTTCGCTAGCAGAATTATTATGAAGAAAAAATATGAAAGGAATTTTGAACAGAGTGAAAGAACTCCACATTCAGCTGTGGTAAAAGAAGTTGATCCATGTGACCATATGGATTTAAATTTTTTGATTTGTTTTTTGATTTTTTAAAATAATCACTCAGGACATTTTAAAGTATTTTTTTCAAGTTTATTTCTTTTCTAAACCGTAACAAATTTGATATGAGATCTAAACTAGACACCTAATTCTGGAGTCGGAGTACTGTGTCACAAGATCAGCGTCGATCCTGAGAGTCTCACCCAGGCCGCTCCGGGGCTATCTCTCAAACACAACCATCTGTGTCCCTGCACTTTTTATCAGATTGTTCTGACAACATTTATGAGTACAAACGGGTGAATTCATGATCAGCATTCTCTGGGAAAGTTGAACGTGGGATTTCTCAAGACCAATACTAAATGGATTCATCATACTATATAAATTAACTACATATCTAAACAGTAAAGCAATCAAACAGTTTACACTGAATGTGTGTTTTGTTCTGTTTTAAAATTAAATGTGTTTAAAATGTAAAAACCTTGAGATGAATCAGTGACATTAAAACTGCACTTGACCGATTTTATGTCGTGTTCTCACATTTAAATGTGTGGCACACTCCTCGTCATAATTTTTAAAACGGTTCATTAAAAAAAGTCTGAACTGCACTAATGGCAATGTTATCAGTTAGTTATCCAACATGGTATCGTATACTGCAAAGTAAAAGTATGACAACATAGGGGAATTTTAGATTTACATACAAATTAGACTCATGTACCCTTGACCCTGTGCTATGGTGAATTATTGTGCTATACACAATAACATGAAAAGGAAAGTTCTGATAGGACTCTATGTAGTCCTGCAAAAAACTAAATGCACCTTCACTATTTCCACAGGAACTGAGAAGGTAAATAGCAGCTAGATACTACTAATAATACGTATTTAAATGAATAACTAATTAAATAATCATCAGCAAGTGGGACCACCTTTATAAAAGTAGAGGTTTTGGGAGTTTTAACACAGTGCCACACTTCCCTGCATGCCCAGGTGTCAAATGTGAAATTTTATGATATTTCATTTAGAAAAGGACCAAACTTGCTTGAAAGGAAAAAGCCTTTCTGCAAAGAACCTGGCAGCATGCCTTAGGTTTGCAAAGTTGCATCTTTGCAAACCTAAGCAAAAACCCCTTATACCAGTTGTCAAGCAGTGGTGGAGGGGTGATGATTTGTGCTTGTTTAGCAGCCACAGCCTCTGAGATCCTTGTAGGCACTGAGATGACCATGAACTCCTCTGTATACCAAAATATTCTAGTGTCAAACGCGAGGTCATCTGCCTGACAGCTAAAGCTTAGCTGAAATTGGCTCATGTAACAGGACGATGGCAGTCATTCACAAATGTGCATGGAAACGTTCTTACCCTGAGCAAAAAACAAGTGTGCACTCAAAATCTCTATCAGAGTTATGAAACGTTGGCAATGGAATATTTTGTTCTTACCCCCATGGATATGTTCTGAACCAACAGGGCTTATGCAGTCTCCATATTATCTGCATACTGCCATGCTCCCATTTCTCTACACAGAAAAATAAAAAAGTAAGAAAGTGGAGACAATACATATTTCCTCATATGGAGATTTAGAATTCTGATTAACATATAAACTATTGTATGAACAAAACAAGCTGGTGGGAACGTTTCCTGAGCCTGATTCTAATTTTGCATGTGCAAATATGACAGCTAACAATCACCTTATAAAAGTCCAGTCAGTCAATCAACTAATTTGTAAATATCATCATCATTTCATTTACTAAAGCTTATCACGTTGTTTTTATGGTAATAAGTGGTGATATGGCATGGTAATAAGTTACTTGACAGGTTAAGTCTGCCATATTACTTAGTTTATTCAAATAAAACATTTCCCCCTCTCCTTACAGGCCTTTCTCCTGGTTTTGCCAATAAAGCTGAGGGGACAGTTGTAAGACGGTATGGCTGACTGGAACTTGTTAGGGAAGCTGCTGGAAAGTGCTCAAGAGCACTCCACTGTAGTGGGCAAAGTCTGGCTGACGGTGCTGTTCATCTTCCGCATCCTGGTGCTGGGGGCTGCTGCTGAGAAGGTGTGGGGCGACGAGCAGTCCAGCTTCACGTGCGACACCAAGCAGCCGGGTTGTCAGAACGTCTGCTATGACACGACCTTCCCCATTTCTCACATCCGCTTCTGGGTGATGCAGATCATCTTTGTCTCCACGCCCACTCTCATTTATCTTGGTCATATCCTTCATTTGGTCCGCATGGAGGAGAAGGAGAAGCAGAAACAAAAGGAGCTTGAAGACCAGCAGCAAGTATTCTGCCATAAGGACAAAAAGCCCTCAGTTAAAGACAAACAGGGCCACGCACGTTTACAAGGTGCGCTACTGCGGACCTATGTCTTCAACATTATTTTTAAGACCCTGTTTGAGGTTGCGTTTATTGTAGCTCAGTATTTTCTATATGGGTTTGAGCTCAAGGCCATGTACACCTGCGACCGCTGGCCTTGCCCAAACATGGTGAATTGCTACATCTCCCGCCCCACTGAGAAGACAATCTTCATCCTTTTCATGCTGGCTGTGGCCTGCGTCTCACTGCTGCTCAACCTGGTGGAAATGTACCATCTAGGTTTTACAAAGTGCCACCAGGGTCTTCGTTACAGGAGTTCAAAAGCCGCACGTGAAGGTTCCAAAGCCCTGAGTGAGCCGTTCATGCCCTTTGTCCCAAACTATAACTACTTTGGAGGTCATTCTGCTGTGCCTGAACTTTTCCCTACAGACTCAAAGTACAGCATGCCAGAGCCAAACTCTGCTTACAGCCCCTACAACAGCAAGGTGGCCTACAAGCAGAACAGAGATAATATGGCTGTGGAGAGGAAAGGCAAAGCGGAAGAAATTGATACAAAGGGGAGAAAAATCTCCAGTCCTGTCCTTGAGATGTCCATCGAAAATCAGCGCAGAAACAGTCAGTCAAGCAAGCACAGCAACTTCAAGAGCAGGATGGATGACCTGAAGATCTAAGAATCTACTGAATATTAATGCAAGAAGACTCAGGAAAAACTGGAGACACCAACATGTAATAATATGTAAAATATGAGTGTGAAAGACGTTAGAAAGAAAAATGAGGTAAACACAAAGCAGATAAAAGGCTGGAAGCCAAGATTTAAGAGCACTCAGGGAGACACGCTGGAGGCAGAGCATGTGTAAAGTATTGTGATTATCATGTGAAAAATAATAACAGCAGGCTTCAGTGAAAACATCTTACTTCTATTTAACTTCAACTGGAGGTTGGAGCCATTTCTTCGATCAGATAATCTCCTTATGTTAGTAACAAGGAAGCTCATAAGAAAAGAGCAAGTGTTTAGAAAGCTGGTTTAACCTCATGACACTATTTTACTTTGTTTCCACTCTGAGTCTGACAGATACATGACCAGGGGTCCGTTCTTCGTACCTCGCGTACTACATCCAAGATCAAATCATCGCGCTAACTTTGAGCTCGTTATTCCGGTTCTCCGAACACACCTGTTGTTGTCGATTAGTATAGCTGGATGAAGTAATGTGAGATCACTTGGTGGCTTAACAGGGGCTACGCATCGATAGTAGAAACATTGATCGGCAACCCTTTGATTGGTCGGC